AACACGAAATTTGTTTTGCATGCACACGTATAAAAATTGCGGTTTTTATCCAACGCAATCATAGGTTTGAACGTTGTTTTCAATTTAGACTTGTTTATATACATATAACTGATGAATAAAATCTGTTGTAGAGTCGTCACTGGTTCAGACGTACTTATAATATAATTATTTATGTGACTGCATCTTACATTAATTTGTAGGATCCTTTAGAATAGATAATTCAGCTGATCTGTAACAATTCCATCTTCATGCCTTATATATCATGTACTGTAATACGACGCTAGATAAAAACTGACGAAGAAAAGGTAACACCCGGCCACCGAAAGCTTTATTATTATAGAGCCTAGGTGGTAGAGTGGTCTAGCGCGTCGGGCATAGTGCAAGGCGATTTGGTGCGACGATACCTCAGTAGCATGAGTTTGAATCCCGGCCAGGGAAGAACATAAATTTTGCTTCCGCAAATTTACAGATCTAACATTGTTGGGCTGTTGTTTAGACGAATTATATATATTTGATGGATTACAAAACTAGGTAATAATCTAAAAATCACATTGTGCATGATAAACATGTGAACTAAGTTTGAAATTAATATGATCATAACATCATGGTAAAATACCTTGACCCAAATCTTTAAATATACACAGAACGGACGAACAGACGACCAAGTACATGTGTATTTTACAAGTGATTAAGTAGAAAAATCGCCTGGATTTAAGAAAAGTAGAACATTATTTTAACAGAGAATATAAAAGATCAACAACAAATTCCCCAAAATGACAAATTAAAAAAATCAACATTGAGATATATGATTGAACAGCCACTTACGAGTTTGATGACTTGGAACAAAATATGAATCTCTGGCTGAATAAAAGTAGTTTTTAGATAAAAAAAAAAACAAAAAAAAAAACAGCGAAAATACCAAGGGAGAAGAAAGTGGGGTGGCAGTCAAAATAAAAACATAGACCAAAAAGGAAAAAACATTCTACAAATTTCAAAACTAAACTTAAAAATGAGCAACTCGAAACCCACTAGAAACTTGTAGTGAACTTAAGAGCACCGGAAGGGTACTAATTCCTGCTCCAAAAGTGGCACCAGTCGTGTTACTTGTTCGAAGTAAAATTCGGTGATATGTGGCATACATGGATATCATAATCGAAAAAAAAGAGGAAGACATTGTAGTTGCGACAGACATATCCGTCGCCATCTGAGACACAGATATTACATATAATAACGGTAAACAAAATCATGATTGATATCGTAAAAGTCTCAAAGGATTGCTTCAATTTGACCATATTGGGGCATTGGTTCTCTAGTTTCCTTGTTATCAGCAAACATATACCACACAATACACATCAATATAGAAAAGCACTTACTTTAACTGAGCGATATATAAGATACCAAAAACACATGCAATAATGATGCTATGTGGATAAATGTATCGGTTTTCAAGAGCTAAATTGGCAGCGCGTCATCAATACAATGGCTTTCATTTTTACGATTATAAAAATTAAGTGGCGTAATGGGGAGATAATTTTGGCGAAGTAGAATCCTGACTGAGTAAACATGGTCAGAGCGTATTGTCAAGCAGTAGTTTTAAACTTTAGATGAATGTAGAATTTAGTTGAATGTGCAATGCACTCCTCTACTATGTTCTATTATTCATTATGTTGAAAACCGAGACAGTTTATGATATTCTTCCATGAGGGTCTGGATGGGTAGGGTGTCTTCATTTTGCTATTCTTTACATTTTTGCTCATGATTATTTCAAGATTCTCCAAAGAAATAATCATCATTCCGAAACGATGTAATAAGAGAGACAACCTACATTTACAAATATTTAACATGGGAGACAACTCTAAATGCCTAAAAGTTGTATCATACAAATTTGCTGTTCACTGCACTGTTTTTGGAGTTTTCAATGTGTTAATATATTAATCTTGTAGTTTTAGATGGTCGAATGTTTGTACATTATTTTATTAAAAAAAATACTTTCTTGTAAATCTATTTACGGTTACAATACATGTATTAAAATATGTAATATTTTACCCAGTAATTTTGCCTCAGTTGCGTTTTCTCTCTAACATATAATATTGGAGATGTCAAAGTAATTCCCCTATATAACGTTTTTGTAGTTAGGTTACCATGATTCCAACATATTTGAACATTTTCGATTAAAGCGCCATTTATGTCATACATAAATTCTTCTTTTATATCAAAAAGTCCTAACAGATTTATATGTAGTTAATCTTTGCAAATTCAAGAGTTTAAAATGCTATGTGCCTCTGCCATTAAAGCTTCTAAAATAAGTTAATAGCCTTTTTATGTTAAAAGCGCCTGATTTTAGTTTTTTATATCATCTAATCTTTTCATTTAAGTGGAAATGGAAAACATCTAATAGTGATACCTGTACCATTTGATCCGTTTACTCATGTCTCTCGTTTGTTTACTTTCTGTATCTCATACATACAAAGGATTAAACTGTGCTTTAGTATGTGTAAAAGTGTGATCACTATGTACTAGGACAAGGAAAGGAATCTCGAAATGACATGATTTTCATACACACAATACGTCACAGTTCATGGAATAACCTTCATCTGCTACGTTTGTGACCCAACGTTTGGAACGCCAAAAATATAAGACAGCCTAATTTCATAATAATGCACTTGGAATTATTAAATAGTCCATTTTCCTATTACTTTTTGTTCATTTAGCTCCTAACGTTTCTGCGTATTTATACATCTCTGGCTTTCAAATGTTTATGTTTGAGCTAAATCCAGAAAAGAGCGTTAGACTTTTTGGCAGAAGAAATCTATCGACATTCCTAAGCAAAGGGTATGTTTTGATGATTTAAATATATGCAAGCTTTTTGAATTTTTGATGCAAAATCACTTTTTTGCAATCCCATTATGCCATGAATATGTACTGCACATACAAAGTAAAAATTAAAGCCAGATCCCATACGACACCGTGCTCATAATTCTTGGTTGGGATATAGTTTGTCTAAGCAAGGTGTTATTTCCCGTTGCCAAGACTATTGTACCAGTACCGAAGTACTACAAAGCTTATGCATCAAAATACATGCTTCTTATATCTTTTGTGCTTGTTAAATTATCATCTTCTCTAAATTGCTTACAATCTTAAATAGAAAAAAACTCGTGGCTCCTGCAAAGTATAAAGTCTCTTTGCATATAATTATTGCAAACAGGATGTTAAATTTCTTTCAAAAAATTAAAAAAAAATATTCATCGATCCGAAAGATCCACAGTTATTACGGTGACATTCAATGAAAGTATACATACCATGATTAAGGTGTTTTAGTGTCTGTAAGGGTTTAATGCATGGATATATTTGCGATCACTTAGCATAAAATTTCATTTATATAAATACATTTGTATTTCAAATCTTTCACATACAGAGCTGATGCATGTAAATAGATTACATGTTTTGCTGTATAGTTATAAAAACGAAATGAATCTTGTTTTTCTTTTTAAATCCCGAAAATGTTCAATAAATGCAAATTTCATTTCATAAACTTGTTGTCTAGTTTTTTCTTAATGAATAGTTTTTGTCGTTTAACTGTAAACCATTTTATGATTTCTCAAAGAAAGGGATTTGTCTCATGTCTTTGTTATATTACCAGTATGTTATACTACCAGTATATCATAAACTATCTCGATGGCCCATATTGTATTACAATTTCCCAAAACACATGATCAAAATTAAAATTAGGCAAAGAATGAAAAAACTATTTTGATACTTATTAATCATTTGATATAAATTGTGATTATGATATTTTATAGGATAATACGACAAGCGTCACTAGTGGAGCAGAATTTGCTCACTCTTCCGGAGCATCTTGGATCACCTGCGGTTTTTGGTGGGTTTCGTGGTGCTCAGTCTTAATTTTCTATGTTGTGTTTTGTGGACCTGTTTTTTGAATTTTTTTCCCATGGCGTTGTCAGTTTCCCTTCGACTTATGAGTCCTCTTTGTATCTTCCACTTTGACTTGACCAACTAGACCAATGAATCGCTCAAATGCCCCGGTTAATTACTGTCAACTATAGCCATATAAAAACTATAAATACAGAACAACAAAATGTAAAAATCCGTTTATGTGTTTGAAGCACACATGGGATTTTCTTAAAAATCAAAATATATATATCATGCTTGTCATATCATGGAAGTTGAACTGGTATATGTTTTAACCTTTTACCTTATATTTAAGTGATGTGTTATTTGCTACGAGTATAAAATCCTATCATGTCTTTTCTGTTTTGTAACGATATTTTGGTTTCTGTCCATTGAAGTATAATGAGTTTATTTTGGAGTTTTCGTGCACTATCTTTATATTTATGTTATATTACCGCCTGTGCACCACCCTAATGATATCTTAATTTCGGTCACCCTTCGCCTCTAACGTTTGAATATAAGGTTAAATTGATTTGTTCGACTTTTATAAATCCCGATTTAAAAACTTGTTTTATTCAAAGATTGTCGTCGGTTGCTGTCTGTCCTACTAGTATTTGTTTTCGTTGATTGTTTTGTCATAAATAAAACCATTGGTTTTCTCATTTGAAATGTTTAATATTTTGTCATATCAAGGCCATTTATAGCTGACTACAGGGTACAGATTTTGCTCATTTTGAAGGCTTTACGGTGATATATAGTTGCTTAAATCTATGTCATCTGATGGATAGCTGTCTCATTGAAAATCTGGATCAAGTCACGTGCTGTTCGTTGTTTGTTTGTGTGTCTCTGTTTGTATATCTATATACTAGGTGATGTCGGTGAGTGGTTTGGTCTGTTTAACTGTCCGATATTTGTGGTAATTTTTGTTATCTTTTAAATGTAATCATGGTTGATAAAACTAAACTTACTACATTTTATCGATTTTCTATTGACAGATGAAGGTCTATTACGGTCTATCTGGAAAGTTTTTTTCATTACCTTTCCGTATATAGTTTTGTCTACAAACAAATAGCATTAATATGTAACACAAATGAAAGTTAAGAATATTTTATTATCTGTCAAGAAAATATATTTCATAAATAGTACAAAATAACCCAGCAAGAAACAGAACTGCTGTCAGCACCAAAACAAGAACGGTATGCAACACGGATCAAATATGTGAACAAAATCACATGTCTTGCTTCTGCAAGTCATTTTTATATTTTTCACATTTTTTGACATATTCTTCCACGCATGTATCATTTTGTCATACCCTTTGTGCAATTAGTAAAGGATTAATACTTATATAACTTATTTTTACGCAGTTAATTCTTAAACGTTTATTGGTAACTTATTAAAAACGTTCTTAGCCACATTGCCGACTTGAAAAAGTTTTTTAGGTTCTTGACTATTTTTGCTGGTTACATAAACCATGAAAATGTGGACGGAGTTAAACAACAAAATAAGAATAAAATGTATTAAATGTAACAAAAACAACATAAAATAACAATTTAAGGCGAATAAATCGGAAGGGATATCACAAAATATTTTATCACATTTTTCAAAAGGTTCCAAACCTCTTGTACGCATATAACTACAATCCATGCTTTGTTGTCTTAACATTCTGCACACACACACTTTCACAATCCTTTCTTAATTATATATCTTTTGTTGTATTGAAACATAATAATAAGATGCTTCTCAATGATTTTAGTTAAACGGGAAAATTTCTATCATTAGTCCTACAACTCTATAAAACAAGAACACCATAATCCAATTGTTTTCACAATGAAGCCTCGTTTTGATAATTGGACACCTGGTGCAGAATTCAAGTATGAGACATGTGCTTTCCAACAAAGCGTTAAGATAAGTATCCATATAAATAAAGATCTACTGTTCACTATTTTCATATATCTAACCAGGAAAAACTAGGCCGTTTAGCTAAACTTTCTTAAATTGTGTATAATTGAGCATTTACATTTCTGAACTATTTCTGATAAATTCATCCACGCACTATTTCTTCTCGGTATTTTTTGTATGCTATTGGAACTTCCTTTCTGTTCGGATTGAATCTAGACTTTATATAGAGAAACTTGTCATCATTTGCGTCACGGGGTATTTCGTAAATCTTCAATGGTGTATGATGATTTCTATGGTGTTCAACTTTCATCCAACCCCCACCAACACGTACCATATGTGCCTTTCCTTTAAGCTGAAACAGAAAAAAAAACTAAATAGATATATTGGTAATAAACTAGACTTAAAATTTTGTACGCCAAATGCGCGTTTCGTCTAAAAACGCCTCATCAGTGATACTCGAATCAAAAAAGTTAAAAAGGCCAAATAAAGTAAAAAGTAGATTAGCATTGAGGATCCAAAGTTCAGAAAGTTTTTGCAAAATACATGTAAGGTAATCTATAAGACATGTAAAAGTGAACAGTGATTGATAATAATTATTCAGTAGATACATGAATTTGAAATTACCTTTTCGTTCACATATCTAATTCTGTTTTCATATTTGGTTTTGTCTTGGAATAATTTGTACTTCATAGATTTAAAATGTTTCAATACAAGTCATTTAAAAGTCTAATTCTTATTTCATTATAATATACAGTCAAAACAGTAAGGTATACCATGTAAATATCTGCGTTAAATACAAGCTTGTAATATAACTAGGTTTTGTAAAAGCTTGAAAAATGATAAGTTCATTCGATACAAACTTGAAACATAACAATGTAAAGTTTATTGCAAGGTTCTAATAAACTACTACATTCCAGCCTAACAACGTGGGGTTACTAGCTACACATGATAATAGTAAACAATGCCTTTTGGTAAAGGTCAATAAAAGCTATATTTACATCAAACGCAACTGTGATACCAACGAAACCAGTGCCAGTGTATGAACAAACACATCGTATATTATTATGTGCATATTCCTATTTGATATCTGTTATTGCACATTATATTTATACATGTTGTTCATACCATCATTCTTTTCTATGTCTTATCTAACGTAACAAAAATCATACATTGACAATCTACAATGATTAGAGTTAAATAAACAAAACATTTGATTTTGTTAACTGTGTGTTATATTCAGTCTTAATTAGACTATTTTCATATTTGCGACCTTTGACTCCGGATTATATATTTTTTCGACATGTTACCTACTCTGTGGTAGAACATTCTGGTACTCGGTCAAGTCAGAGCAACTAAAAGAAGTAAAATAAAGTTTACAATCGGTGCAATTTGAGGAAAGACATAACTGTTTTCCAAATAATTATGTTATGTACAGAACCATAAAACAGTTCATTTTGTACCCAAATTGCACATTGATTTTACTTCATCTGATTACTCTTACTTGACCGAATACCAGAATGTTCTACCACAGAGTAGGCATCCTGTCGAAAATTATATACTCCGGAGTCAAAAGTCGGTAAAAAGAAAAATTCTATAGCTTTATGAGTACTACGTACGGTATACCGTTTTTTTAAAAGCCAAATTTGCAAGGATGTATTTTGTACACATTCGTTTCATACATGTACATATAAAATCGAACATGTTTTAAGAGTTTATATCGTGGTACATGTGTTGTTCCATAAAATTTTGTGCAGTGAACCTTGCATGCACTAAATTCGTATTACCTTTTGCTTTTTTGGTTTTTCCTCTGTTGTTTTCTTAACCTATTGTTACAACAAAAGTTTTTGCAAATAAACTATATTATATAATAATTTTGTACAAATAAAATGTTAAACTTTAAGGGCAATATTTGCTTTCAGCATTTATTTTCGTCCTCGAAAATGAGGAATCAAGATATTTGTATAAGTTTTCTCATATATTTTTATTGATATTCAAGCTTCTGGCAAACTTTAAAAATTGTCATTATACTGTTAAAAATAACGTCTATAATTACATACATAATTAGTATTCTCTTTGATATATGTAGGTATAGACCGTTTTAAATGAATACTTAAAAATATTCTGCTAATACTTAGATATAAAAAAACAAGAATCTAAAAGTGCTGTATACAGTATTATAGTATTATACATTGTTATCTTTTTTCTCTCTCAATATCACAGAATTTACAATTTTCATATATATTTTTACAATACCATGAATTATGACCATGCAAGCATACATATAAACATCAAAACATGCAACATAAACAATCAATAACGTGGATAGCATATGCAACTTGACTATAAAGTCATGCACTTCTTACAATTGTATGGTAGGCGTTAGCGCTATCATGCATTGTTTGGGCTTCAGTCATGTATTAATTCGCGCTACGGAAGGTTACTTTGACTAATTTACTATGGATCAAATGGATATTCTAGCTATATGCATATGTAACTAACAGCAGCTAAACATTGTCGGCAAGCAACTAGTAACAACAACAAACATATTTGTAAAATTCGTGTATTATTGTACTAAATATATTTTGATTTATGTAAAAAAATAATTTGTAGAAATATTAAAAAAATCATATCTGTAACTTAAAAACTACAAAAAATAAACGTGTTTAATATTAAATCGTTGAGAGGCTTCAGTACAATATCTTAGATATGACTAAGTATTTGTTCTTATTTTTTAGTAATTTCTAAACTAAGAACTTACCATATTTTATAACATTTTTACTGATATGATTTTTTCATACGAAAAAATACAAAGTTACAATAAATCAAATTTTTCAAAAGTGCATATATTTGCGTAAATAAACATGCAATAAGCTCGTGTGTTGTTTTACCCATTTGTCTGTATGTTGTCCATGAGAAATCGGAGTTAAGTACGTGTCATCCATGTCAGACTGACTTTTTAAACTCAGTTTTCTTCTATTCGGGAACTTGGAATCTTCCACTATAACTAATGGGTCATCGTCAAAATGTTTGGCAGTATTGTCGATCACATCCTTTATTTTAGGTTTAGAATGATCGTCAAACCCCGGAATCACTACATATCTAGGTTCTTCTTCCTGTTCGTTCCACTTTCGTTTGTCTTTGATCTGGGTCTCTATTTCCCCGGTGTATTTCAAAGGTTCTACGTTTTCCGTTTCTGGATTTACATATAACAGGGTCGAATGAGTACTATAATCGCCAGAAGATTTAAGTTTACCATTTTTACTGTCATTCATATAAAAGGAAGGACCATGTGATAGTTTGGCGCCATATTCTTCAATCTGTACATGACCACGTGTTTTCTTCTTCGAATGGGTACCAGATTGTTTAAGTGATGACCGTGGAATATTGCCATAATCATGAATTAGAACAGGAACCTTTTTTAAGTAAGTTTCAACCTGGGGCGGAGCAGAATCCTCAGAAGTTTTTCTAGACCACTTTGCAACATGTGGGTGCTTCTTCCTCTGTCGTTTTGCAGTTTCAACATATCGTGGGCGTTCATATGTAGTCGTTTGTTTTCGTTTCTTTCTATTCTTTGACGATTTTCGTTTTGGAGGGTATGTGTTTTCTTTTTTGAAAAACGGTCCATAAAATGTTGTGCTTCCTGTCAGAGGTACAGTGTAAAAGTTGTCAGCTGTTTTAACTCGCTTTAAAATAACATTAAAAATGTAAATAGGCCTTTACAAAAAGGAACAATGTAAACACTAACAAACACCTGCACCTAAAGTAAGTTTTAAGGAAAGAGCTATAATTGCAAAATTTGTTAGATAAGACTAATAGTTAGAATCATACGTATTTTTTCTGTAAGATTGCTCAAAATGATAAAATTAAATTATTTGAATATGTTTCGAACTAAAACAGCAGTTACAATTTTATTTGTTATGTAAGAACCAAGATTTCTCTTAAAGCTCAAACTATATTCTGTTCATATGTCAAAGCTAACATACTCAAATTACATATTAATACAACTAAAACTGTATTAATATTCCCATATTAGCTCAAGGAGAATTAAACAAACAACAGTGTAGTCCACAGCAAATTCTTTAAAGTAATCAACTTCAAAATTTTAACACGCATTAATATTCTTGAAAGAAATCAATTGTTAAGTACATGTAAATATATGTAGAAATATTTTCACATCTTAAATATATACACATGGTTTCATAAATTTGGAGTTAAAACACATCTAAAGCTGTTTCCATGCAAGTTAAATCATAAAATTATATAATTTCCACACTTCTCAATGAAAGGAATTCATACTTAGTGAATAGTTTGCGTGGCCTACAAAGATTATAGATTTATTTTTCAATTTTGAGATCATGAATGATTTTACTTTTATTTTTATAAACATGTACTGTAACATATTAACTGAATATTTGCAGCTTTGAGAGTTTTAAATATGTTTGAATTTTAGCCAAAATTTAGTGTGTATGAGCATGTCGTAAGCGGAATTATATAACCTTTAGCTAAAATGTAAATGGATTATATATTTTAAATATAAGTATTTAATAAACCTCTGTGTATTGAACTTCGAGAACCTGTTTTGCAACTTATAGACTCCCACGTTAGCAATTGACAAACACTTACATCTATATAGGCAAACCGAGATTGAATATAGTAACCTATTATGCCTGCAAGGTAATAAAAGCCACATAAAACATGCACAAAATGTATTCTATTCTAGATATATTTTTAGGCTATAACAAATGAAAATTAAATAAAATCCCCGTTACTAGTTAAGTTCACATTATAATGCCTATTATACTTGGTATTTCTCCGACAAATACTGTGATGGAAGAGTTATCTCATCTTTAGGTGGCGGTACAGGATTAGAAAGGGGGCACAGGGGATCAGTAGACAAAATGCAGTTTCCCCTCGCTTATTAGCTAAATAATATAATTTTAAAACTATCCTACCAAAATGTTTCATTTTATTTATTTCATGTCTTTTTGTTGGTCTACACACAAAATCTGAAACCATTTTGATTCTCTTTAGTCCTGTAATTATAAACATCATAACCCTTCTTTTGAAACTTATGATACTAAACCAATGATTGAACTGTTACTAGACTTCCAGGATTATAAACCACTAGAACACACCCGCGAAATCGCGGGCATTTAGAGCGTGGTTGAAAGTATGTAAACTGTTGCAGGATAAATTTTTGTAAAAGATTTTATGACTGGAGAATTTCAGGAAAGGTATCAAAAGGCATAGGTACTTGGGGACAGGACACATTTTTTTTTAGCCCTCCCCCTTTTTTTCAAAATCCGTTATTTTTTGTTTTCTATTAATTTCAATTATTTTCGTGTTTTTCTGTATACTATGAACATACAGATACTATAAATAAAGTGTATTTGCTATTTACTATCAATTCCAAGTTTACTATCCACGGTGGTCACTGATATATTATATATTCAAATTTTTTTTTATTCTAGTATAGAGACTCTCCATATAATATCAGTGACCGCCGTGGATAGTAAACTAGGAATTGATAGTAAATAGCACTAACCTTTATTTAAAGTATATGTATCATAGTATACAGAAAAACGCTAAAATAATTGTCCTGTCCCAAAGTACCTATGAAAATAATGTGTAATTTTAAACAGTCCTAAACGGAAGTCTTGTCTATGACTTAAAAGTCCGTCCGATGACGGAAACAATACCCGGACGCCTTTATTTTCGTTTTCCTCCCAAAATAACCCAAACGGAATAACCATAAGTGGATGACAAATGCGACTATGCATGGAACCTATAGGACACAGAGGCATGATGATTAATTTATTGTGGAAGGAAGAGAAGCGACACACAAAATGAGGTCTTTTCGTTTAATAGTATAGATAACATTCAGGGTTAGACTGTGAACTATCGGAATAGTAACTAAAAGATGAAACTCCTGGATGACTACCAGAATAACCTAACCATGAGACCATCGTTATCTGAATATTAGGACTATTAACTATGAAAACCAAAGTTAAGCAGTAGACAATCAGAATTATAAACTATGAAATTCAGGAATAAATCGTCGACTACCAGGACTAGGAAAGTAAAAATTGGACCGTAAACTAACACCATTATACATCATGAAATTCATGGTTGAACTTAATCCTACCAAGTTTATAATACATGAAAGCTATTGTTATAATATTTTAAAATGCCATGAATTTTGAAACCAAAACAAAAATAAAACTGAAATATTGACGATAAATCTTTTCAAAGTGCTTTTTTTGAATGACCATGCAAACCTTTATTAACTGTTGACTACCATGGACACTTAAGTTGACCTATAGACTATTACGAAAACCGAAAGTTAACTGCAGACTACCGAGTAAACGAGGTTAAAACTGTTCACTACTGTAGTCTAGTCATATCTTAAACCATTCTTTTATATGTATGTTACAACACTCAGTAAATGCACACTTAAAAATACCATTGAAGTTGATTATCTGATATAAGTTATACATATGCATGTAGTAGATCATAATCTTGATCTTTAGTTCTATCGGACAGAATGAACAAGTTTCTATTTCCGTGAGCGACAAGGGATACAGAACAGGAGACGCTTACCCTGTCAACACATGTCTCGCCCTATTTTGGAGTTCATGCAGTTCTCTCAGGTTTTTTTTCTGTATTTATATTTTCAGAATGGATTTACGAGACTTGAACTATTATTGTCTCTTATTAAATGAATAAAATTGCTTTGAAGCTTGTGATATAGAGCTGAATAAAACATTTGTTAATCAATCGCCATAGAAACGTTTTTAAAAAATGTATAAAACCACAAGAGCTAATCGGATAATGAACTTCAAAAGGCAGTTTTAAACTTGTGTAATTACAACTGACGCTATATTGAAAACATGCAATTGATATTAAACTATTTTACATTTCTGTAAATAATATTGAATATAAAGCAAATGTTTGGTATATAATACGCATTGTAGGTTTTACCTCGTTGTTGCTCGAACTTCTACTACTGGAAGTAGATTCCGCAGTTATGTCCTTTAACCAATAATAATATAGTTTATGTAATATTATACAAATCTCTGTACACATGTTAATCAAAGTAAAAGTAAAAATTGACTTATTTAAAATCATAATCTTTTGAGCAATATACGTGCATTATGATGTCTTTTTAAAATATCATAAATAATGCAGTTATGACTTGGTCTGTCATCCGAACAATTAAAAATTTTAATATCTGTGAAAGAAATAATAATGTAACAATCCAGTTAAGTTATTGTCTTAGTTTTTTTTGTTAAAATACTAAAACTATCAGAATACTTTTCAAGGGTCTACTATTAAAAGGTAAACAATTGTAAAAATAGCATGCATACAAATACACAGTCGTACAATAGGAAAAATATTGGAATACTTGTAATTTTCGTATCAATTTCCTATTACAAGTGTGCTAATCACACGTGTGTAAATTATATCATACACTAGCTGTAATTAATATAATATACAGATCTAGACATATTTAAATTCTATACTAGTATTTGGTGAAAGAGATTTAACTACGAGTTTATTTAATGACGTCTGTATCATAATACAGATCCATTTACTTGGGTCTAGAGCAATTATGAGTTCGTAATATATACTATCTAAAAATAAGGAGATGTGGTATGCTTTCCAATAAAAAATGTAATATGAAAAATAGGTAAATCATTTCGCTATGACTAGAAAACTATAAATCTGCTTCACTTTTCTTATCCACATGCATATGAATGTTTTGAATTTGGTTTATGCTAGAGATATCAGTAAGGTATGCAATTAAAATAAATCCATGCATATTTCTTTTCTTTATACGAACCAATTTAACATAGAACTTGTCTGGGTTTTTTGTTCTATAGTAATCTAAAACCCGTAGTGTAACCTTGGACGGTACTATTCCTTTTACCATAGACTGGTCCTTTAATTAGTTATAACATAATAATAACTACCCACTTCACAACACACTTGTATTGTTCTACGTTGACAATAATAAATACAAAGTTTGTTTATTCTACATTGGCTAGAGGTATAGGGGGAGGGTTGAGATCTCACAAAACATGTTTAACCCCGCCGCATTTTTGCGTCTGCCCCAAGTCAGGAGCCTCTGGCCTTTTTTAGTCTTGTATGTTTTTTTTTTAATTTTAGTTCATTTATATGTTTCGGAGTTTAGTGTGACGTCCATTTTCACTGAACTAGTACACATTTTTGTTTAGGGGCCAGCTGAAGCCCGCCTCCGGGTGCGGGATTTTCTCGCTGTGTTGAAGACCCATTGGTGGCCTTCGGCTGTTTTCTGCTCTTTGGTCGGGTTGTTGTCTCATTGACATATTCCCCGTTTGCATTCTTAATCTTAAATTTATTTGCATGTACTGTACATGTGATACTGCCTAACCATACACGATATGCCTTTTCATATATGCATTGTAATTACCATTGGATCATAGGTTTAAGTGGTTTAAAGCCACCGTCTTCCACAAGTTCCCCCTCCCCAGATAAAATATTTTTGCACTAACGTAAAATAAACACAAATTCACACTGTCAACAGTTTTTTTTATAGCTCAAACAAAGTATATTTTGTTAGCTCAAATAAAGTATTATAGTATATATCAACCTTACATATAATTTTAACCCCTCCATGACAACAGATCCTTTTATGTTCAGGTGAGAGATCGAATACCAATCAATGACTTTAGATAAGTTAATGCAACATTTTTCAAAATTTTCTTCCCGTTACCTTTATTCCAAAGTTTAATTAAATCGATGTGATGCAGCTTTATGACGCAAGTACTAATTGGGCTTGCTTGTAAACCGCAAAATGGACTATAACAATCCAAGTGACGGTATTTGTATTATTATTTTCTGTTTAAGATTTACAAATACATGTACGTTTCCTTTTTTGTTTCTACGATAAAAAAAAACGAGAAAAAATTGCTTATTAGCACTAAAAAAGGTCTTCTGTGACCTGATCTTTATTTGCTACCTTGAGCAAAGAATAGACTAATCAGATTGTTTCTTAAGACAAGAATATTAAAACCAAAGAAATCTAGCCAGCATTACCGATTGATTTCCGCCGTAGAATATGGTTTTGAATCCGTCATTACAGCAAGAGATTGTTTTTGAGATATTTCGTATCACGAATTACTTGAATATGAAAGGAAACTGCCAAAACATAGTGTTCCTTCTTCTCAGAAAAGATAATAAAGAAATCATAGGAAACAGGTTAATTTATTTGTCTGTTACCAACTATGGTATACCTATTTCGGACAGTGCGACATTGCCCTCATTTGAGTGATATTAAGAAGCATATTAAGTCACTTTGCATTCCTCAAAAGTCTAAATGGTAATTTAATGAAGATTTATGAAGATAAATAAGTATATATATATTCTTAGGCAGCTAAACTGTATTCGATTAATAGTGTGTTATCTACAGAAATAAGAACGTTTACAGCCGACTGCATTGAGTGTGTAGGTAAAGGTAATATATTTGGTTAGCTTGCTTGCTAGCTGAACCGTGCAGTCATTAAAATGTAAGGTATACTACCCTCCTTTCGAAGTAGCCTAATCCTGCAGACAGATAGATTGGTTATCTGTCGGACCAGTCTACTCTTAAAGGAGGGTAGTTTATCTTACCTAATAATGACTACACGGTTCAGCTAGCAAGCAAGCTAACCAAAGATATAACTTTTATCTACACACTCAATGCAATCGGCTGTAAGTGAAATTGATCGTGTTCAATGCAGGACGTGACAGAGATATATATCTGCATGTTTCAAACATTGGTTTTAGTACACAGTATCAAGATCTTTCAGGACTAAAAATAAATATGAAGCCACACTTTTTGGGATATGTTCAATATAGACCATCGTCTTTTCATTTAATTACACAAGGTTGTTTACACTCATTTGCTAGAAAAACTGCAGCATGTTTACTTGAGTAGGCATGATATATGAAAAATGAAGTTAATTTTGCTTCTTTGGCAGTTGAACCACGAAATCAACATTTCCTTTGTTTATAACTAATAGAAAGAGAAATGATTCTTATCTTATCATTATTCAATCATGGAAAAGAAACAAAACAAAAAAAAAACTGATAAACCTGTTTGACCGGTTTGTTCTTTATTTACAGTGACTAACATTGTAAATAAAAACTGATCTCGCATCGCTCCCGTTTTCACGCGCGACATATCAGAAAGAGGGAGCGATGCGAGATCGGGTTTTAATTATATTGACTGGTTCATAAAGAACTCATGGTTCACCTAATAAACAAGCAACTTAGATCCAGTATACTAACTACAAACTCAAATAAATTAACTTTAAGAAAGTATTTTTATTTACCTTTTCAGTGGAAACAATTTTCTTAGACGCCGTATACTCCGAGGGTTCGTAATAAGCATATCTTGGTGGATCGGGCTCGGGGTTCTTAATCAAATGTTCTTTCTTTTTAGGTGCTTCATAATAAATTTTGGACGAGCCAGCTACAACTTCTAAATCCTTAAACAAAAACATTGGTTTATTACTTTTTATTTGTAACTTTTTGGGATTAAAATGTGCAGAAAAAGAAATAAGGCATGCATAAGTAATTAAAAACGGCATTGAGTCGAAACATTTTAAGAAGATAATATATTCAAAATATTTAACAGATGATTTATTGTTCAAGTATACAAACATGTTTGTTTTAAAGTATTTTTCTACCCCACCCATTCATACGATGTTTGGTTTAAATGGTTCGCTAATTGTTGGGTGTACTGGGATAAAAAAAAATACAAACGCCTATTTCTACATCAAAGAAACTTATTTTAGATGAACTAAATTCTGTCGGTATAAGATTTCTTGGGAAATGACCCATCCCAGTTATCAATTATTTTAATTTCGGATCAACCAAAAAAAGGGGATGACAATGGGCAATGTCGAATTTCATTTCTCCAGAGGATAGATCATAATATTATGACATTTATATTGGTAGTCAGGTAAAGTAAAAATGATTTCCGAATGTATCTTTAAATGATAACGACTACTTTCATTTTATTATTCTAATGGATTTTACGAGGTCAAATTCTTTACAGGTGGGTGATGTATACTTGATCTACTTTTGGGATAGCTTTTTCTCAATGTTGAAATACACCATTTAATTCTACATGTAAGCCAGTTTTCGAACAAATATTTATTGAAGATCGATTGAGCAACTCTCAGTGTTATTTGGAAAAAATCCAGACATTTAACTCATTTTGGAAAGGGGTGTGTGATGAAAAAATAAGAATATATATTATGTGGATGTGCATGGGGTTAACAGAATAGAGAATAAGGGGTCTTCAAAATAAAGAGTATTGATATCTGTCCTCACGTGGCTAAGAAAAAAAAACTGTATTTTATGGATAATTGAACAAATAAGGCATTTTGTGAAAACAAGACCAGTTGATTTATTATTTACATTGGCAATTTTTCTGTTAATTTTAACATCCTTACCCCATCCCCGTATCGAAGGAAACACAGAATAGGGAAACAAAACAGTATATTACAATGGCACTTTTATCCATGCCTAAAAAGAGTCGGTAAAAATCCGTTTGATCCAAAATTGCATCCTTTAGCGCCACAACTCATTTGTGCCAAAAATACGTGTGAGTCAACTCTTAGATAAAATCGTATTTTAATTTAACACAATGAATTGAATGCGGAATTTGTTTTTAATTATTCGAAATGAAAGCAAAGCACAAATCACATTTTGCATAAAGGTCAGAGTGAAATTATTTTATCCTGTCACTATATTTGACTTTCTTCTCTCATTTTTGCATTTAATGGTTAGAAAAAATATAAAAGGAAAAGTTAATGGACGTAATCTTCTTTCTCCTTTGCTTACGTTAAAAATCAGTAGAGTGTGTTTATAGTGGACGATATCATATATAAATACATGTAAACCTAAGCTCATTTTTGCTAGATAGTATTTCATGCATCTATACATATTGACATTTATGATTGACAAACATAAAAAAAAATGCCTTGAAATTTATTTTATGTAAAAATCAATGTTTTACAAGAAATCCATTCCAATTAGCAACTTGGAAGTCGCATCGACAAACTTGACGATCATAATTAATAGTAGGTTAATATTGATTTTGGTTGCCAACCGATGATATTATTATTGAAGAAATATTTAGTAAATATTGAACTAATGGTGTGTTAAAGTGCAATTATCATATCCATTAACCATAAGAAGAATTATGATTACAGGTGCATAAAAACATATGGTTAAACAATATGTGAAGGTTAGAATAAAGAGTTATCGAAAAATGATCGGTCCTTCAAATTTTCTAAAGAAATTTATTCCATTTTGAAGTCGGCATTTGCAATTTTCGTCAATAATAAAGAAGAAACAAATACAGTCGCACATTAAAATTATTTGGTTTTGTCTTAATATTTCATAGATAAGCTTGGGCTCATAGTTTTGAATAAAACAGTGTCCCCGTAGCACCTGTCTCTCTGTTTTTGTAATCTGTCAGTTGGATAGCTGTTACATGTAGATGATAGAAATCAAAATTTAGAAAATACTGAGTTAAAGGTTAATAATATTTCTTTATAATATATCAAATAGAGTCTAAAATGAAACTGCATCATGCTTTTAAGAATATGCACTCGAATTCTTTCAATCAAGTATTCTTAAACAATCAACATTAGATAGCATTTTAATGTTTGAAAAATCACTCTCTTTGTGATAGCTTACAAACCACCAAATTAAAAAAAGCATTTTTTTCTACAAGCGGAATCAAAATTTACCTCCACTCTGTCATAAACTGGTTCGGGAAGATTTGGTTGCTTAACAACCAACTGCATTTCTTTCTCCTATGAAAAATAAGGTCTATGGATATAGTGATAATATTACTAATTTAATATAAAAAATGTCCGTTTTGTTGTTGCATCATATAAGTGACAAAACATAGTAGAGATGGGTTGGTATGGCACTGTCGGGAAGCAGTAACTGTGGATAAACTGATTTCATTTTCCATAGAAACAATCCTGGTTTTCCAACAATCTGAACACACTCAGTCTTTTGATTTCTATAATGTTTATGTTGCAAAGAAGCCAGAACTGTCATATTCTGATTAAAGTTGGCCCTCAAAATTGGGTAGATCAGTTGGCTACCTTAGACCAACATTTTGTTTTTCTTTTACAGACATATGCTACACAAACACAGACATATGTTCCCTAAGAGGTTTCTGTCGACAAAACCACCGAGCACTCCATGATAGAGACTGAAACATTCAACAGCTCCAAAGAGTCTGGGACACAATACTTGTATGGATATATCTTGGAGAGTATTCACTATTCAATACTATAATTGTCCGATTTCTTCACAAGGAGCGGATGAGGAACAATTTTTGAAAGCTAGCCCAAATTAACAAAGCACAACTGAGCTCGTATTAACGTTTAAAATAGAATAAAGTAAAGTAATGGGCTAATATATCCTCTATATATACACATTTATACATGAAATTCTTGCTTTTTTTTAAGAATGAAAAAGGAAACAAGTTGTGAACGCGGCATAAACTGGTGTGAACATCCTTTTCATTGAACTGTGACAGTACCAAAATATGACCATATTGCACGCGTATCTTTTTTTAATATGCCAAAAAAAGTCTTAAAACTATTGATTTTTATATTAATACAGGTTTTATATATGTGAAAGCAGAAATGTTCGTTTGGTTTTAAATTTCGTTTATTTTGTTAGTAAATATAACCCTTGAAATTATAAACCTCCAACAAAATTTCACCTACAAAGATTATTACTTTCACATACTTGAAACCATGAAAAATATTCCCTATGAAATCAAATTCAGAGACAAAACCACGACATGTTCACCCACAAAAATTAATTTTTATTTTTATATCCATGGCTTTGTACATCAACATTGTATTATCGTAACAAGAAATGTTTTAGATTTCTATTTTAAATGTACCATGGAAAATACTCGGTTGTTCGTGTCACTGTGAATTCCTTTTCGTCATTTTGCTTAATGCCAATTTATTTTATGTTTCGTGGGGTAATGTTTTGCTTAGTAAATAATGGCATAAAGTTACAAGTGCTACATGAAAAGAAAATCTACAAGAAGAATATCATTAACTATTTTTCTACAGTTAGAAAACTTAGTTCCTATACTAAAAGATTAGAAATAAAGGAACAGTAATTTACTGACAATGTACTCGTTAGTCCTGAAATGACGTATGTACTGTATTCATCTATATAACATTCATCCTGAGTTGTACAAAAGTAAACTTTTCATTGCCTATTAGGTCAGTTTTACAACAGTGTAGAATTATACAACTAGATCATGGTCCTGCAACATATGACTCCGGGTCATAAAACATGTATTTATTTTACTTTTCCTTTTTTTCTTCCTACTTTTTAAAGCAGTTTAAAATTTTCAATTTTCAAAAATACAGAAAATGAATATACCAGCCAGAAAATATTGAATATTTAATAGATTCATGTAATGCGACGCCGTTTGATATAGGACGAGGTTAGAAAATGATACTAAGTGTATTTTGAAGCCACATTCGTTTGTTCTTTGTATTCTTCAAAATTTGAATGAAAACCTTTTCATACAGATTTTTTTTGACATTTTTGAGCCAGGAAAGAAATAAAAAATTACCTTCTTTGGTTTCTTCTTTTTAGGTGGTTTCGGTTGTCTTGGTGGTTCAGGCGTAAGAATTCGCGGCGGTGGCGGCGGTGGTGGAGTCGGAGTTCTAGGAGTAGGCTCCCTTGGCGTAGGTGGATCCGGCTCATTTACGACTTCCACTGTTTCTCGTTGATAATAAGTTTTGATTTTTCGTTGCTTTGGCTTCTTAAAAGTCTGCGTTTGTACATTACGTAAAAGTTTTCTCTGTTTTGGCTGCGGTTGTATGACGTAATTTGTAGTCATCTGACAACCGACGTCGCGCGTTGGCGGACGTTGAATTATATATTCTTGTGGGTAATCTATATATTCTTGTCTTTTCAAAGCCCTTTCCTCGGCTACTTGTTCTTTCGTAACATACCCAATAGGTTGTCGGTCTCGAAAGCTATTCCTAGTAACGTATTTTACATTTGTTTCTTCAGATACTGGCCTTTTAACATACGTTACTCGTTCTTCGGATCTCGGTCTTCTGACAAGCTCTACATCTCTGTTATCTATGATTCGTTTTTCACTAGAAGGTCGACTCCTTACAACATAACGTTCACGTAAATTTGAATCATCCACAACTCTTCTTGTTACCACACGTTCACGTGAAGGTCGTACAAGTACTTCACTAGCTGGTCGTCCTGACCGTACAAACAATTCCTCACGATTATTCAAAGTATCATTGCGCCGGACGACATAATCACTCGCAGGCCTTGAACGTGAAACGCGTGTACTTCTCATTGTGTCTCCATCCCTGGTCCTTAGTACGGGTCGCTCATCTTCTGCTATAGCTCTTCTCGTTAGCACACGTGGTCGTCCTTCCACTACTCTTCTAGTTGAAGTATTTTGTCCTTTTGGACGTACTGGGACCATATATTCTGAATCAGCTTCACTAAGAGTTTCATATTCTGTTTCTTCTTGTTGGTATTCTATTTTTTCCGGTCGTTCACCGCGTTTCAATTCACCATCATCCATGACAACGTATCGCTTTGAATGTCCACTTTTTCCAGATGTTCTATAAATCCGCCTACCTTCCTCATCGATATAAACATTGCCTCGTCTACCCTCGGGAGCATACTGAATATGAGAAGCTTTCATTCTAGGTGACCTCACCTTATGCTTAGATCTCGAACGTTCAGCCATTTTCTTATTATACCTATGTTTTAATTGGTTAAATCCAGAAAAAATATCACTGTCGACTATTTCAACACATCCATATGTTATTGATTCGTTCTGTTGTCTGTTCGTGTTTTGTTTTAACGGTTTGTTTATATTTCCTTCGCTCTCACTTCATCATAGTTCTGTGTGTCGCTGTGCTGTCTATACCTGCTCATTACAGTCCATTGAACCGTGTCACATATAAATTACCTTGTAAAAACACCCACCGGATTAAAAATAAATTTAAAGCATTTTTCTTTCTATACACATTCGTAGTTATAATTACTACATAGATGTTAATCCGTCAGTCAAAGGCTTTACTCCCTAGTAACCAGCTTTGTATGGCCAATAATAAGGTTGAAATATACTGTCACTTTCTCTACGTCACACGCTGGTAATCATGTGGATGAATACCTCATCAAACAAACCGCTATAAAAATGCAAACAGTCAGAAATTATTATTTACACTTATTCTCAGGAAAAGCCTAGGTCACATATAAACGAATATGAATAACGCTTTAAATCTACACGCATATATTGAACCAACGTAACGCCTGGCTAGTTTTTGAAATTTAAAAAATGGATCTTTATATTAGATTGTTTAATTGCGTGGAGTGTGTTTTTCGAGCCCAATTGTTTAGGTTCATCGCGGTTTGAATTGATTTTAAACTGATAGTTTTTATCATACTCGTGTAACTTTAAAACAAATAACATTTTACGAATCTGTATAATAAGGATTATTTGGAATAACACAATCTATATGTAGTTAAATACACATTCAAATTAATATAAATTATTTGGGATTATTTTCTTAAAAGCGACTTCTATCATACTAAATACAAAAGGACCTTGACTATTAAAGGTTTTCATGGAATTAAGCTTAAATTTTAAATACACAAAAATGCAACAGTAATTAAGTTTTATTCACAATTCCAGCAGATAAAAAGTATTAGACTAAGTACATTTTTTCCATCTAAAACGAAATAATTTTGTAATCTAATTAGTTCTAATTACAGTAAGATTTAATTGAATTGCTTTAATTTACAACTGCACATTGTTGTACCGATGCATAAATTTAATTAAAATCCTTTGAAATCACATTCCTGGCAGGTAGATAGATCAGAGCAATCGATTTTATTGTATGTGATACAATGTGTAGTGTCACATAGATTCGAGATTGATTTACAAAGCGAATCAAGACCTAACACGTGACAAAACACCAAGAAACAGTATGACATCCATATTGATTCATTATTTTGTAAAACACAGATATCATTCTGATTTACAAGTGGCTTCATATTGATAAAAACACAGTAATGAGCACGATTTTTCATTTTGTTGTTTAAAATGAATTTAAACGTGAGTTCTTAAAAAAAAGCAATCAATAATGATTGTGATTATCTTGTTTTGTCGATAAAGATCTACATTATGTCTTCTTTGCAGATCTAAAATTGGAAAACAAATAAACCAAACGAAAAAAATATTCTTTGTCTCTTTGACACATTCCCCATTTCCATTCTCAATTTTATTCTTGTACCCAAGAGTTTTAAAAATGTCATACATATAAATTGATTTGACATGTATCAGTGGTTAGATTTTTGTTTCCATGCAGTAAATTTTTGCAAGTATTATGAATACTTAGTCAAGGAAAATGTCTGAATGACAGAAATTTACAACCTATTTATTAGTAACTACACCAACATTATAACACAGCGACACCCGGATGAGACATTACAGCACACACTGATTTTTTTGTTCAAACTGCACTAAAAAGCTAAAAAGTTTAATATTAAACAGCGCTTGCATTGATGTTATTAAATTTGAAATCACCGACGCATGACTTGTGATATACACGTTTAAGCGTTTAAGGTAGGCGTTAAGTATTTCACCTAATAGGTATGTTATACAAACTGATGAATAGAACACATTTAAAATAGATTGACACGGTCTTTTATTATGCAGTGAAAATAATTTTCATTTCTATACATCAAACCGCAGTTAAGTATTTGATAATTCCATTGAGAATTTAAATAGCAATATGTCGATATATACATGATACATATCTTTGAAATCAAATTAATGAAATTGACATTTGCAAATCAAATCAATTTACCCATTAAAGATTCATTAAATTATCAAATGATCAAACCACAAGTCTCCTGTTTTACTGTGAAGTTCATCACTTGTTAGTTTACAAAAATGAATTAAATATATTTGGCCTGTTAATAACTTGTTCCCATTGCAAAAGATTTTCAACTAGAGGTACTGCTAGCAAATCTCACAAAATCATTCCAGACGGCCTTGCAAAGTCTCCCCCCCTAAAAAAGATACATGTAAAAATAGGAGGTGCACAATTGCATAATTTGGACAGAAGAACAAACTTATATAAAAGAACGAACGGACAGACTCCCCAATCACTTAATACCACCTGCTTAAGAAAACGAGGGTAAAATATGCTTGAACACAATTATAATCGCCAATTGATGCATTAAAAAACGAGCTAAATAAACCTGTGGGATACCGTAAATATCTATACGTTGATACTTTTCAAAATAGTAAATAGTGTAAGGGGATCTTTATTATCTAGGTGCATGTAGGCTGATTTGAACCCCATCTTGCAATAAATTATGGATACTTTGAATGAATTCTAAACTTAATCGTGTGAATCTTATATTGTTATTTGTCCACTTTTGATACAAATGAAGATGGCTATTTATTAGGTATCCGAATGTAATTGTCTATCTCCCTTTACAACTGTAATACAATATTTCTACACTCTAAGAGTTTTTGTCAGAACTATACTGTTCTATCAACACACTCCCATTGGATTATAATGGCTGATTCATCTAGTTAGTTCAGAGAAAAAAATATTTTAATAGTGTTGTATCGCCACTATTTTTCAGGTATGTTTGCTGTAAAGTAATGGTTTCAAAATTTTCTTAGTAGTGCTATGCTTAATTGTTTGCATGATTTGAACTAAATCTATTAGCAAATCCAGCAGTCCAGAATTGGGAATATTAATCAGATAAAAAATATATGGTCTATCTCCAATAGAAATATAAGGACACATTTCTAAAACAACATTGTATTCTATCTCAAGAAAAGGGATTGCTTTGTTTATCTAGGTTGCTTGTCTATAAAAAAGCAAAACAAAACAATAGAACAGAGTTATACTGTTTGTGTACGTAAATTTGAATGCTTTATAACTTATAGTGTCCCAGGCAAATATTGATGATATTTTGCTTTTAAACTTAAACTTAATTTTAATTTTTACCACTATTACCAAATGGAAAATACATCATTATAACATGGATTCAAACGACGACTTGTATACTCGTCGAGTAATCATGGCAAGATACTGGAATATATATATGTGTACAATTTAATGAAATTAGGTTGTGATATTGATGATAATAATTATTGTATAAAAAACAATTACATGTACATGTAGAGTAGTGTAGTGAGCCGAAGGATATGATTCTGATCTGTTATACTATTTCGATGAAAAAAACTGTTATTGACAAGCAAATTTTTAGTCGATTGATTGATTGATTGATTGATTGATTGATGGTTGCTTAACCACGTGATGGCAAAATATTTCATACATATCCTAGACGAAAGTAAATTAACAATAAATACAGTATGAAGGTTCCGCATTGTGAGTCGATATGGATGAAGTACAGGAATTTCGAGGGGCAGACATTTTGCCTAGCAACAGGCCGCTCATGAACACATTAGAGTTGCTGCAAGGGTTGTTTAACGTGCAGAGTTCACGAGACTCTTAGGTTGGTCTCCTCCGTAAAATATCCAGTATGCCTTCGTAAACTTGTCAAATAACGACCAGGTACCAATCTATGACTCTTTCAACTCGAGGCATCAGATTTAACGTTAGAACATTGACAGGACGTGGCTGCGTATTCATACATCCCATACAGCCAAACGAATGCACCTCTTACTAATGAGTTTTACAGCCAGTTGGGTAAAGTCCTGTCAACCCTTGGACTGTGTATGGGACGCTATTACGACCTTTAACGTTATTATTAAGAAGGTTTCGTACCAAATAAGCTAAAAATATTAAATTTTTAAGAATAATTCGAAACTGAAAAGTATATATTGCTAAATCTAAATTACATCTAGACCAGTTTATAGCTGTTACGGGCTGAGACCGATAGATACGTCGGTGAACGCTACTAAGCTGGACTCGTCAGTATGTAGATTTTGTATAAATCAGAACATTGAAAAATTAACTCTATTCTTACAATAGTATTTGTCCTACATTATTGGCTAACTTAATTGTTTTTATTTACGGAAGTTGTATCCAAGAAAGGTGGCAAAATATATACCAAATATACCAAAACTACAACGAGTTGTTTATAGTTTACATGGGTAATTTACAACTGTCCTATACATTGAACTACATATTTCTATTTACATGTTCCTAGCATTCAGAAAGACATCATTAATTTTGTTCAATATTGTTCTATTATAATCCCCAGTATAAATTTTCTATCTTATTTTGAACAAAACCCGTGGTCTAAATAAAATATAAAGGTATGAATAAAAGGAAAGTTAAGAGATACGTCAATATTGCTCTATATATAATCCCCAGTATACATTTTCATTCTATTTTATTTTGAACAAAACCCGTGGTCTAACCGAACGACACAGAAAAGCCAAAAGACATCCAGAGGTCAAAATACAGACTTCAACAATAAACAGAATCATTCTATACAGTATGTTAGGATCTTAACAATTCCTTGTCTCACTCTGAAACCACTTATAAAAAAAGTACAAATGTGAACCAATGACGAGGTTCATGACTTGGGACAGGTACATAGACTTACTGACAGAAATACCAATGTTCAGTCGATATCACATAATGCTAATAAAAAAAGACAAAAGTGATTATGTCAACCATCGATATTGCAATAATTCTACAGTGGCGGATCCAGGGGGGATTTTGGGGGGTGGGGGTCCGGGGGTTGGAATCCCTTTCTTTTACGATCAATGCTTTTGAATGGGGACATATGGTTGGAACTCCCCCTTTTAAAAATCCTTTTAAAAATGTCTGGATCCGCCCCTGTTCTTAATGAAATCAGATGCGCCAACAAGCTTAAACATCTCTTTCAGGCATGCATGCATCCCTTTCACGTCATTCATGCATTACCCATGTACCGACAATAGGCACAGGCAGATATTTGCTAGCTACAACTCCAGCCTTTTTCATGAGAGGACTAAAATGAAAAAAAATATGGATAAAAGTCACGGACCATTTTTCTGCTTCTAAGATTTATCAAGACTTTTCAAATGCAATATATGTAAGGAATTTAATGTAAAAATTCAGGCATGTATCATCTGTGAGAAATTGCATAGCAGGAATCAAATTGTTTCATAAGATGAAACAACGAAGATGTTGATGATGACGACGATACAAGATCAGTAACGATGTTGATCCAAGGATAGTAAATCAAAGTAAACCGTACAGTTTTCGCTATTTATTTTCTACAGAGATTTTTACAGCAAAATAGGACAAAAGTCATGAAACTTCTATTTAATTTTATTTTCGGAGTAGAATTTAATTTGATTCTTGATTTACATAGGGAACAGTGTAGATAGAAAAACAAGGTCGGGGCTTTTTGTTAATGGTTCCGGCTAACTGCGGAGACACGACATATATGATTTCCTGAAGATCGGAAACGTATCATTTAAATCTTTGTAAAAAGAAGAGGTTTATTTTTCAATGTTAGATCGAAAAT